AGGCACGTGCTCTTGGATCCTTAATTCTACATAAATTATTAATGTACTTTGTACATTATTTTAGAATCAATCAACCTCCTGTATGTTGTATTAAAAAATTATGAACATTTAATTTTTAAAGTATTTTTAACTGTTTTACAAAGCTCCAAATTGAAACAGTTAATTACCTTATTTGTAATGAGTTGAGCTCATCTAATAACATGTTGACTTCAAATCTTGATTAGATTACTATATTAAATATATACATACACACATATATGTGTAAATATATATATATATATATATATATATATACATACACACATATATGTGTAAATATATATATATATATATATATATATATATATATATATATATATATATACATATACATACATATCCTGATGCATGCTCAATAATCCAGGTAGAAAAATCTAAAAAAATTAAATCTGGTCCTCTGGACATTCAAAAAAACAAAAAGCAAAACAACAAAAAAACAAAACAAAGCAAATCAACAAAAAAATGTAGAAACGTTTCGTCTCTCATCCTGAGGACTTCCTCAGTCTGAGGAGCTGTATTCAGCTCAGTCTCTTAAATAGCACCTTCTCAGAGTGGATCAACCAGTTTGCTGCTGACAACCAAAACCAGCTGATCACATGCTCAAGAAGGACCATCAGCCTAACAATGGATCATTAGCACCTGATGGCTGTTTACTGTTCACAGAGGGCTGAGTGAAACTAGCAATCACAGCATTGTAAGAGGGGGACAATTGAACCAGGAGGCTCCACCCCTGTTTAATGATGGACGGTTTCTTTTCACAAAGATGGCCTCCTTTACTCCTCTCTCAAACCATCGTTCCTCTCTGTCCAGGATGTGAACATCTTCATCCCTGAAAGAGTGACCGCTGGCCTGGAGATGAGTGTAGACCGCAGAGTCCTGGCCTGATGATGTTGATCTTCTGTGCTGGTCCATCCTTTTGGCCAGTGGCTGTTTAGTTTCCCCGATGTAAGACTGATCACCCTCCTGACACTGAACAGCATACACAATATTACTCTGTGCCGGGGGACTGGATCTTTGGGATGAACCAGTCTTTGCAACTGAAGGCCAAAGAAGAGCACATTAAACAGAAACTAACTATGTGTCTAGATCAGACCACACTTCAGCAAGTGATGGACTGTACAGATCAGGCACGCTTAGCACAGCATGTCAAGTCCAAGACTCGACAACAAAACAAGTTTAACTTACTAATAACTCATCAACACCATCACTATTCCAATAACAACACATTCAGTGTAGGACAACACTCCAGTAGTCAATTACATGCCAGGGAGACAGAAAAGTGGGTGAAGAATTTATCTGACAGACAGCTCACCCAGCCAGAGACAGAGATTCTTGCCAGGGGACTGAACTTTGCAGTTGCACCAAGTAGAATTCCTCTGGTGGAGATGATCACAGCCACAGAATCAGCCATCCGCAACAACAAAATGAAAGAGGGTGAAGCAGAACAGCTCAGAATCAAAGTTTCATCCTGCCTCAGCAATGCCAAACCACCACCTTCCAACATCAGTAGAGAGGAGAGGGATGCACTCACCACTCTTAGCAAGGACAAAAACATCATCATTCTCCCAGCAGACAAAGGAAGGTGCACAGTGATTTTGAACCAGAAAGACTATCATGAGAAAGTTATGACACTCCTTAGTGACTTAAACACTTATGAACCTCTGAAAAGAGATCCAGGAAGTGGTTACAAGAAGAAGTTAATAGATTGCCTGAAAATTTTGGAGCAGGACAAGGCTATTGACCGTTTTCTGTACCACAGACTGTACCCAGGGGAGGCCACACCTAGTCTGTATGGTTTACCTAAAATCCACAAACAAGGTGTACCTTTAAGACCTATTGTTAGCATGATTAACTCTGTCACTTACAATGTTTCCAAATATCTGGCGTCTGTACTCATCCCTTTAGTTGGCAGCTCAGAACACCACATACAGAACACCATGGACTTTGTGGATAAGGTGAGGGATGTCATCATGGAGACTGATGAAACAATGGTCTCTTTTGATGTCACATCACTCTTTACGTGCATTCCTGTTGATGATGCAGTAGAGGATGCATCTTGCACAGATGCATGTTGTGTAACGATATGTTCTGAATGCATGAACGCCCCGGAAAACTTCAACGGGGAGGGAAAAAAGCTGAAAAGAGCCATGAACCAACCGGTTTACGGCTGAACAGTATGAACAGATTAATAATAACAGGAGAGCTGATTATTAATCAAATGAACTGATTGGTAACAATAGAACCAAAATAACAATCACAATTTGTGACTGATAACATCTCACACTGTAATGCATGCAGACAGATGTGAGTAAAACGGAGTTCCATGAAACAACAATATTAATTCTGTAAACATTAAAGACAGAATGTGTCATGGAACGAGCCGTCACATCACGTAGATAAAAGTGAATAAATGAGCAGGGTGTTGACCACGCGGCCACAGTGCAAATGTCCTGCATTGTCAT